AGGAGGCCGCGAGTGGCCGCTGGCCTGAGCCTGCCAAACCGGTTCAGTTCTCCTCCACCCCTCCAGACCCCAGCTCTGTGAGGCTGTGTGCTCTCCGCTGCTTCTCAAAGGCTGTGTGTGGTTGTGGTGCTGAAGACAGCAGTCTCAGGATCGGTCGGGTTCCTGAAGGTTCCAGGTACAACACTACCCACAAGTTCAATGGACTTGTTGACTACAGACCCTATCCACCGACACCAGCTGTATTCTGAAGTCTACACTGTACCTAAAGAATTAGAAACACAGATCTGGGAGTGATGGTCTACACCTTTAATCCCAGGACTCAGGAAGCAGAGGCAGGGGATCTCTGTGAGTTCGAGGCCAGGCTGGTCTACAGAGTGAGTTCTAGGACAGCCAGGGCTATGTAGTGAGATCTTGTCTGAAAAAGACAGACAGGAAGGAAAAAAACGAAAAAAGAAAGAGAGAGAGAAGGAGGGAGGGAGGGAGGGAGAAAGAGAACGAAAGAAAGAAAGAAAGAAAGAAAGAGAGAAAGAGAGAGAGAGAGAGAGAGAGAGAGAGAGAGAGAGAGAGAGAGAGAAAGGTAATGAGACAGCCCAGTGGGGAAAGACTCCCACAATAAACAAATACATAAACACAGTAAAAACCTTTAGGGGCCAGTCAGAAGACCCATCTGGTTAAGGCCTGTGTCTCTGTTGACACAAAAACACAACTCTGGACTTGAAGGGGATTAGAGATAGTTTATTCTGGAGCCAAATGCCAGTGACCACGGTCTGGGAACACAGATGTAGGTTACTTCAAATTCCATGTTCCAATGTGGTAACAGTTTGATGAAGTTCTTATAGTAACAGAACAGAGAAAATCACAAGTAGAAACCAGGCATTAATGGTGCACACCTTTAATCGCAGCACTTGGGAGGCAGAGGCATGGGGATCTCTGTTGTGTATCAGGTATGGGTTCACATACCTTAAGGAAGAAATCTTTTGCCTTTCTAGCTGCAGAGGGTCAGTCTCTCGGGACTGATTCACTTGTAGCTTAGCAAAGGGCTTTTATTATTATTATTATTATTATTATTATTATTATTCTCCAATTTACACCTTTAGCAAGTTAATTTGTATCCCCAAACCTCTTATCTAAGCTCCCCAAAGGGACAATGCTAAATGCAAATTGCCAGTTCAGGACTATGGCAGTTTCCCCCGGGCTTGATCTCCAACCAAGCTTTGCATAGGCTTTGTACCTTTAGACAAGATTCACATAGAAGGTACTGGAGATAAAAGGTAACAATCACAAAAGACAGATCAAAGCTAGGTGCGTTATAACCCCCCCCCCCCAATCAAACCAGCTGCAGCTCCCCAGGAACGCCCAACACATCTCTGTGAGTTGGAGTCTAGCCTGGTCTACAGAGTGAGTTCCAGGACAGCCAGGGCTACCCAGAGAAACCCTGTCTCAGAAAAAACAAAAAAATCCCACAAAAACACTGCAAGCCGGGGCACCTTTCAAATACACTGGTTGAAACATTAAGTAGGTGGGTTCAAGCAGAGCAGAGGGCGGGTGAACCTCAAGTATAGACCTCAGGTGCTATCTGATAACATTCTTAGCCTTTTGGTTAGTGGTGGTGGGGAACCCTATGTTTTTGTTAAATGAACACATTTATCTGTTCGGTTAGACAGAGAGACAGGTAAGGAATGGGCAGTCAGAAGGCTAAGGTAAGTTATAATTTATTAGACTTGTAGCCCAAGGTAAGTTGTAATTAGTTTCTGGGCCCGCAACAGTCCAGCCTCCACACCATGACTGACGTTTTAATCAGCCTCTCAGAAGGCTCGGTGGGAGGCGCAGCTTCTTTCCTGGAACCGACTCACATCTCCAACTGAGTTTAGTCTCTGGACCGCGCAGGGTGGAAGGAGAGAACTGACTCCTTTGTCCTCTGACCTCCACACGCCAGTCACGGCCCTCGCGCCCCCCCCCCCCCATTCATACGAAATAAATGCACATTTATTTAAAATTTAAAAAAAAATAAATTCTGAGCAGGGTAGCACACACCTTTAATCCCAGCACTCGGGAGGCAGAAGCAAGTGGATCTCTGTGGGTCCCAGGCCAGCCTGGTCTACATAGAGTTCCAGGTTAGCCAGGGCTATGTAGTGAGACCCTGCCTGGTTTAAAAAAAGAAAGAGCTGGGCAGTGGTGGCTCAAGCCTTTAATCACAGTGCTCATGAGGCAGAGGCAGGCAGAGCTCTGAGTTCAAGGCCAGCCTGGTCTACAAAGTGAGTTCTAGGCTAGCTGGGACTGCACAGAGAAACCCTGTCTTGGGGGGAAAAAAAAAAGGAAGAAAGAAACATATGTACATAGTCATCTTGATCAGATGTGACTAGGCCTCAGCCTGAATGTAAGCAGGTCTGAGAGACAAGTGCATGGAAGAGGACCCCTTCCCTTTGTAGCCAGGTGGTAGCTCACCAGGTGTCTTTTGATGTCTGTACAGTGACCTGGCATGACCCTCTAGATGCAAGTGGGAAGGGGTGGATTATGAGTTCATCTTAATAGGTGTGTTCAATCTGTGGCCCAAAGACTGATGGACCCATGGACAGCTGTGAATGCAGCCCGACGCAAAACCATCCGCTGAATTTTTTTGTTAGCTTTTTTTTTTTTTTTTTTGGTTGTGATTTGTTCTGTTTTAACTCATCACACAGATCTCAAATGTGACAATGTAGGTGACAGTGTTTGTCATGATGTCCAAAGGGTGGACACAGGCCTGGGAAGATAGCTTGTTTGCAAGCATGGTGACCTGAATTTGATCCCCTAACCACGTGGTAAGGCTAGGTGTGGTGAGTGCCTTTAGAATCCCGGGGCTGGGAAGCTGGAGAGGGTGGAGAGTTGGAGGCTGTCTGGCTGGCCAACATGGACCAATTGTGAGCTCTGGGTCAATGAGAGACTGTCTTAAAAACCGAACGTATAGCACTGGAAGAATGACGTGTGAGGTTGACCGCTGGCCTCCAAATGCACACGTACGAGTGTATACACACACACACACACACCACATACACACACACACATACACACACACCA